GACAGAGTATAGAAGAATTAAGAAGACAGATGGTTGATCTCTTTCAGGCCTTGGATTCCAGATGCTTATGGCAAGCATCAGCCTCCCCAGGAGTGACAATAACTTATTAAATGCAAACAGAAACCATAGGTGCCCCTTGAAATCCATTTGAAACTGCATCTAAAAATAGTGACACATAATGCTCCTACTCTAGAGTTAACATCTAGCCACAAGGGACCATAAAAGCCATGTCTATAATGATCAGGTAAATCACTAATGGCAAAGTTAAGGTCCTGAAAGCATACATTACTGACAGCAAACAGGAACATGTCTAAGCACTACAGCACAACCTAGTCATTCCTGAACAGCCCACCAGAATAACAGGCTGATAACATTACTACACTGCTACCATCCTTCATTCAATCATCTTTACCACCTGAATGGACACATGTATACAACAGAATTTTTCAGCTGGCAAAGCTTCTGGTAACAACTAGTTAGATTAAAACCCCCGTGTGTAACCCGAGCCACTTGACAAGCCAAGGCAACTTCTTCCCAGAAGTCCACCAGCTACCTGAAAAGTAGGAATGAAATCTGGGTGATGACTGAAGGCACATACAATTCAGTTTACAATATAACTGAAAGCCTATGGCAGAGCAGATATTTAAACAAACTCAGACCATACACTCACAAAGGAACAAGGAGAATAACACAATCCCAGATATCAGACCCCTCTTCTCTTGTTCTTTCACAACTGTGCTGTAATACCATACGGAAGACACAGGCAAGATGAAGAAGGGAGATGGAAACCTAACTTCTTTTAACCTGCTCAACATTTCATTCAACTTCAAAAAAGCTACATAAGTTAATCTGTTATATAACTAGATAAGATACAAACATGTATTTACATGAAATACAATGTACAAATGTGGAAAACACAAACCCACACCACAGTTATCGGGTCTGACTTGAATATTCAGAACTCGTAAAGAATGGTGCCACGTCTCCAAATGAATTAAGGGGCCAGGCTAAGCATAGAAGACATCTGTGAGAGGAGATCTGCGCATGCCTAAGGCACACCACACACTCCTTCCCGCCCCCACATGAAAGCAGGAAGCACAATCTGATGCAAAAAGAATTCTCAGTGAGGAAAAAGGAAAGCTTTGATTCTGAATGAGTCAAAAATAAGAACTGCAACTATAAAAAGCAGAGAGCCACAAGCATGGTCTAGCTTCCTGAAAATGTAATGGGTGGATGACAGCCAAAAATCTTGCCAGGAACACTTGAGAATATTCAGTTGAATCATTCAGAGTGAGTTTTTACACCTAATTCAAGTGCCACACAGATGGGTGTTCCTCATTTATTTGAAACTAACTTGTTCTTACAGATTTTGAAAATTTGTTGTCTGTTTGAATTTTAAAAATTTCTGCTTGTATTTGGTTTAAGCTTAAACCTACTTTGCATTAGGAACGGTTTCAAATCACAGACACAGCCCTAGAAAAGAAGGGGCATTTAAATTATCAGCCTCCCCAAGAGGGCTACAGGGTCCAAATGTCTCATTGTCATGTGTTTAATAAAAAGGCAGCATTTTGTCATCTGACCCAGTGAGTGCACATTCCTGCACTCCAAGCTTCAAAAAGAATCTCTAATGATGCATTGACTCAGAACCTACCTGCACATAAAAGCTAACAGGGGGAGGAAAAAAAAAAAAATGTCAAGTATCTACAGTGAGCTTACCCCACATAGACATTCGCAGATGCTCAGATATCACGGCTTGCTCAATGCTTTTCCCACAAACAACCCCAAATTACCTCACTGAGAAGAAATTATCTAGATACTGTATTTAGGCTTCTGAATCCCAGACAGTAGCAAAGGTTCTGTGACATCTATAGCAGAATAATGTGAGAAACCCAGATCATTCTTAAGCCACCTACCAGCTGAGATATTTTTCTTCTTCCTAAAGATGCCCAATAATAAACAGCTCAAAATCTTTGTACTTAACAGTGTTAAAAACACCCAGGTAAAGGCAGAGAACCACATACAGTGAGGCTAACAGTGTTGCCATACCTAACTCTGCAGCCGATTTAATGTCCACATTATCGTAGCCACTGCCAATGCGCACGATGACCCTGAGGGCTTTGAACTTTTCTAGATCCTGACGAGAGAGGGTAATGGTGTGATACATCAGAGCGCCTACTGCCTCGTTCAGCACCTATGAATAAAAATCAGTCCAAGTCAAGCAAATAATCTCTATCAACCAACCTTCATGCCCAAATGCTTACACACATTCATTTGCACCTTTTCGTGAATTTCCTGAGTTGACTGAGCATCACAAAACGCCACCGTAGCAACATCCTTCAAGATGGGCATCTCCACAGTGCAGTCCCTTCCGTCCAAGAGTGCAACCAGCGGGCGAGCCGGCATGGGGCCGTTCACAACCGGAGGGCGAATGCCTGTTGAGGGAAGTCAGCACAAGGGACTGTGTGCAACACAGGGCTTCTGCAGCCGCGGTTTGGGGGAGTCTAAATGCTTCCTTACCCCGAAAGAGCCACTCACTCACTTAAATGTCTGCTGTATTTGGGTAGGAATTAGTCCAAACAAAAGAAGCAAATAGCAAAATCGATCTTTGAAGAAAGGACCCAGCAAGAAAAGAGAAAAAAAAAAAGGGGGGG